AAATGACGAAAAACATGCAGCAGATTTATTGTGGCTGTATACAATGGCCTTAATCAAACTATTAATTATGAAACACCTGGAAAAACAAGTGCATAGGGAGTAAAAGAAAAGACCAGGAGTGGATTAAAATGCATTTAAAGTGGGCTTTTAGAAGCATAATTATGCATTTATCATGTGAATTCTCATCGAATGAATATAACTAAACTCCTTCATGAATATTCAGCATCAGTTTTGAGCTTTCTTCTCAGGGCTCTCAAGATTAGTGCAAATGCGTCATACGCTTGCAAATGTGACTGTTTTACAGATCTTTAGATTCACCAGTGCTTAACTAATCTTGCTGTTTTCTTCTCTATGGAAAGTGAGAGAAAAGTGAGTTTAAGAAGGAAAGGAGAGAGAGAGGTTGTACACATACACACACACAAATAATTTTCGATGTGCTCACCATGATTGACTTCATTTACCTCTGCCACAGAGACAGCCAGCAGGTAAATTTGGAGCGGAGGAAACCGACACTCAATCTAAAATAATAATAAAATTAATAAATCTGTCTCTTCCTCACTCCCTCTACATGGAGGTATTGCTTGTTATGCTAATGTAGGTTCCCTCATGCACAGGCGTCGGGTCTGCAAGACATAAAAGAAGCTGCCATGGTAATAAAATCGCTTTAATTTTCCTCTGACATTTCCCTTCCTCTCATCATCCCAATGGCAAAATCACAGATGCAGAGCAAGGCAGCAATCAGACGAGAGCCTTCATACCCGCAACCTACAAAACTGGAGTCATACTACAATAAAACTGGATTCAGTGTGAACATGAAAAGGTCATGATAGTGAAACAACGAGATGCTGAATAATGATTGTCTCTACTAAATCTAATTCTTAAAACACCTTTTGATGTGTATCCTTTAGTTTATATGGGCATAGATGTGCATGAGTGTGAGTTTTTATTTTTATTTTTGAATGATACATCTATTCCTTTATGAATACAGTATCACAACAAACTTTCTGGTCTGTCAAGGAGAAAGCATGCATATCTCGAGAGAACAAAGAACACTGTTGTCTTTTCATGTGTTTTTGACATACGGCTCGTACAGTTAACACACCCCTTCTCTTCTGTATCGCTGTCATCCCACACAAACTTCACTCACTACTTCACTGTAGAACCATTCTCTCTCGTTTCAGTTAATAAAGTAGATAGCAATTTTTTTGGAAATATTTTTAAATATTCATCAATAAATAAACATTAATTTCTAAATATAGTTGAATATACACACAATTTGGCATTACAAGTCTTGTGCTCAAGGTCACAAAAGGTACTTAGAAAGAGAATTTAATGCAAATATTAATGCACTTTCAATTACCAACTGTTCACTGCAGAAAACAACAACAACAATATGGTAACAACATTGACATTTAAAACCATCCTTTATACTGAAACATAAGATAAAGTAATAAAAAGGAGACTCTGATTTGTCAATTCATTCATCACAAGTCTTTGTAAATATACAGTGTTGGGAAGGATATTTTAGAAAAGTAATCGGTTACAGATTACAAGTTACCCTATTTAAAATGTAAAAAGTAGTGTAACTATTTCAATTATTATTAAAGTAATGTAACTGATTACATTTGATTATTTTTAAATTATTTTCAAAATTTCTAATGTTTTCAACTGTTAATCATTTTCAAACATGTAAACCAGGCAGGGTTAACCTTACAGTAGTAAGTGACTGTAGAAAGTAACTGATTATTGTCAGACTTCCGAAATACTTCACTTAATTTAAGATTAAAATATTTTTAATTTTAAATCACAGCCACCACAAAATCAGACTTATTTAAGATCATTCTGAGGTTAAATACAGATTTAAAATCATGACAAGATAATTTAATAGCTATGATGCTGTTGTTGAAATCAAATCTTTGCATAGCTATGACAGGAAACACTGGAATCCAACAATGCCTTAGGAAAAAAAAAACAGTTAATCTTAAAAAAATAAAACATATACATAAACCCAAATGGGGGGAAAAAACAGTTACAGAATAAGCATTTGCCCTAAACTCCTGAAACATTGGTGTCTAATATTTTAGAGCAGTCAGTGCAATTTGGGAAAAGAATCAATTAAATCTGTGTATGCACTGTGTGTGAAAATATTCAGATGTAACCTCCTTTGTAATCGTTAAGATTTTAATAAGTAACTGTAATTAAATTACAATTAGTTTCTCTGTAACTGATTACCGTGACATTTATTTAAATTATATCAATCTGTTACATGTAACTATTTACTCCCCATCACTGTAATTATATATATATATATATATATATATATACAAAAATTTATAAAAAGGCAAAATTCAAGCATTTCTATATATTTTCTGTTCATCAAAATTTTACATTTTCTAATATAGGAATGATGGTCTAGGTTGCCAATGTTTGTGTCACTTTCTTTTGCACTTTTGAGCAGAAATGGCCATTAGGTTACATTTTATTGCTCATCTCTCGTGCTGGTGTCTTCACTGCGGAGTTGCCATCAATTTATTTATATGTTATTTATTGAACTTTTTTTATATGCACACAATATGAAGAGCCAATGTCATACACAGAAATAACAATTTACTTTTTTCTTTACAAGTATATTTTCTGTTTCATTCAGTCACACGCACACACATTTCCACACACTCATTCTCACAGAGACCCTTAATTACAAATGATTTCAAATTGTATTTGTCCCATTATAATGTGCACTCTTTTTTGTCTTTTTGTCCTTTCTTGACATAGTTACATCATTTAACATATCTTTCCTTCATTCTCTGTGTTTAGCCTGTTAGCTTTTGTTCAGGGGATCATTACCATGGCAACGCACTAGAGAAACGTTATTGACAGCTGAACAGGCTGCATGGTTAACTTTGAAGCAAATGGTGACAGAGAAAAGGGGCCATTTGTGATGTAATTCCACAGAATGAGAGGAGGGGAAAAATCTGAGAAGAAAAAAAGTACAATAGAAAATACACAACAAAGACACAAACTGACAGAGGCAACTTTGTAGTTAAAGTGGTGCAAACTTAGAGGCGACTCCAGAGACAAGGATGAGCACTCACTTGTGTCCATTTAAGAGTCTTGACAACATCCTGTAATGTTGCTTTTACAGTCGTCTTCCCACATATTTTCTCGAGTAATGTGCTCATTATTTGTTGGTGTACGTTTAGTGGATTTCAACTCCCCTCCTGACAGACCAGAATTTAAAACAAGAGTCCATTCCATCCCAGTCACATGACTACAGGCATTATCAGGACACATCGAGGGATCTTTTCTAAAGCTTTGTTTGTGTGCTTTTGTCAATTTCCCATAAGAAAACATTTCACATGCGCTAAAAGTCTCTAAAACATACACACTGTACATGAAATCTACACATATCTTAAAGCTCTTGTTACATTTATAAAGTAAAACTCAAAACTGCAAAATACAAGATGAATGAATCAGTGTTTATACTTGCACAAGTTAATTCACAAGTCAGTATGAAAACTGCTCATCTTTATACATATAAAAACAAACAAACAAGGGAGGGAACAAAAGTTTTGTTAGTGCGTTAATCATGTTAAATACGTAAATCTCTCAATTTTGAATTCAAAACTACATCATTTAAGCAAAGTACAAATAAATTGTCATCATTATGATAATGGGGATTTAAAAAAAGAACACAATTAGGTTGAGAGAGAGAGATGAATTACAAAACAGAATCGGCAAGAACAGAAGTGAGAGAAAAGGAAAAAGTCAGAAAAGAGCAAAGAAGAGAACAATGGGCAGCGTTATTGTGCTAAATGACATGTTGAACTTTTCCACTTCCACAGGGGACCAAAGAAAACAAACCCAAAGAGTGAAGGGAGAGCGGAGGGAGAACAAATGAGAAGAAGACCATGAGGCAAAAAAAGAAATGGTGAGAGATGAAGGGAGCTGCTCGAGCATGAGGGGAAGGAAGCACAATATTCACGTTCGAGATGTCTGACCTTTGGAAAGTGAGCTGGAGAGAGGGACGGCAGTGAATGAGCTGATATACACGTTAGCGTTCGCACATAAAAGAGGACAAGGCGGCTCGTTTAAATTAGCATTGCGACACGGCATCCAAAGGCGTGCGTGAACAAAAGAATTGTGTATAAGTGCTAAATAAACACACTTGGGCGAGCTTGTCGGGCCCATAAAGAGATTCCTCGAGAACACTCAAACTTGTGCTGAGTTAGAAACGCATGCTCAGGAAGGAAACGAGAACATATCGCATTTTCCTTTTATCTCGCTCACACACACATAAACAGCCTCCATCTACGTATGTGCGAGATGAAGAGCCTGGCTGATGATCACTTGGCAATGGCGATCAGACAATGTGGCCAATATGCTCACTAATGGCCTGTCAGACAGATGAGAGACAAACTCCCACAGAAACCTTTGCACCTCTCTCCTCCTGGACCGCCCCGCTCTCTCTCATTTCCCTCCCATCTTCCACACTTTCTTCATTTGTACTAGCCTCCTTCTTCAAATATGAAGACTTAGTGGAGATTTGGCCTCGGCATGTGTGTTTAGCGTATTAATTGCGTGTTAAACAATAAGAGGGAGAACGGAAATGGGCTTTGCTGACAGAAGGAACTATTCCAACATTTCATTGTCGTACATAGTCCTCCATTAATTCCCTAACCGGTGGCAAGATAATAGAATCCTTGATTCAGTGTCATTTTTTTGTCAGAACCGAAGTGTGACTCACAGTATTGAGTCAGTGCAGGGGTGAGCTGAGATCCGACAGCTGGGGTGTAAAGAAACTTCAAGGCCTGATGATAAAGAGATTGTCATATGGAGGGCAGGACTTACAGCATGGCCACACAACAGTGCAACTTTTCTGCCAAATTAATAAACAGGACAACAGAAAGCTCTTTTTCAGATTTGCAACAACCACTGTCCTTGTTGTTTTCCACACCATAAGTCCCATATTGAAGTCTTTTTAACTTTTTTTTTTCTTTTACATTTCCTTACATTTAAATTGGACTTTTTGTGTGGTTACTTGCTTTCTCGCTCTTCGCGTGTTGGCCGAATTTTAATTTCTGTGAATTTTAGCGAGTATTGCCACCCGGTCCAGGATGACCATTCAATCCCGTCGGCGTAAGAGGTGTGCTGTCCGCGCAGGTACTGGCCGTTCAGGTTGGACGTGTGGCAGTTGCGGTACCACCAGGCGCCGTGGTAGAATGAAGCACAGTTGTTCTCCGAGTGATCGTTGTCTCTGTCTTTTGTGGTGAACTTCATTCCATTGTGCTTAAGCAATGAATCTCCTGTGTACGGGTGCACACAAAAATAAAGGGAAAACAGCAGAAAGATAATTAAACTATTCTTCAAAAAATTTGGGGGCAGTAAGATTTTTTATTTTGAAAGAAATGAATACTCTTTTTCAGCAAGAACACTTTAATAAAAGATACAAAAGTGACAGTAAAGACATTTATTTATTTTATTTATCCTTTATTTAGCCAGGAGAATCTGAAGGGGAGAATCACTGGCCAGGACCCAGGAGAATCCCATTGAGACTTCACAATCTCTTCTTTGCAACAAAATGTAAAATTTTACAAAGGATTTTTAAAAATGCAGTTTTTTTAACTTTCTGTTCATCAAAGAATTTTGAATTTGTTTTTAATTACACTACAAATGTAAGCAAAAGAATGTTGAAAAAAAGACTTTTACTAAATATTAAGCAGCATCGTTTTCACTATTGATAATAATAAGAAAATCAGCATATCAGAATGATTTCTGAAGGATCATGTGACACTGAGGACTGGAGTAATGATGCTGAAAATTC